CTGCCTCAGATCTGTTAAGTTGTCGCCGTGCTCTGCGTGACCCGAAAGTTCTCAACCGATGCTTGTATTTGACTTAGCTTGCTCCTCAGAAGCTTCAACAGAAAGCGGTCGGGATTTCTTGGAATCCTTTTCGAACGCCATACTCAAGTCCATCGGTAGGGTTAGCAGGCCTGAGTGTATTGGCTGAATACGTGGCCTCAAAGATATACAACTGCCAAGCTTTGGGGCCGTGTATTGCGAGTTTCTGATTCTTCCTGTCCCCAGCAGCTGGCGCTAGGAGTAAAACACAGAAAAAACTTTTTGGTGGTACTGTGATTTGTTTTTCTCAGCTCAGACCTGCATATAAGACATTAAACCTATTTTCAGGAACATTTCTTGTTGCTGCATTGACGGACACTGCACACTGCTTTGCGATGTCTCGGGTTCATTCTCTTCGACACAGTCGGCGACGCTGAGCTGACGCTGGCCTTGGCGCTCCTCATATGGTTGATTGATTGATTGATTGATTGATTTGTGGGGTTTAACGTCCCAAAATCACTATTTGATTATGAGAGACGCCGTAGTGGAGGGCTCCGAAAATTTTGACAACCTGGGGTTCTTTAACGTGCACCCAAATCTGAGCACACGGGCCGCTCCTCATATGGTATGCCACCCTCTCTGGCGGGGTGGACGCGATGACGCCAAGGGAAGCGGCGCCGACAAAATGCCAGAAAAACGCTGCACATGTTTCGGGCTTTAACCCACGAAATTCTGTGAATAAAAATTTGGGCTAGTCTGATACCCCTGTATCTGTATGCCACGTGTTGCGAACAACTTTTGGAAGGCACTGATTACAACACTTGATGTCATTGACGGCATTGGTATGACCTCAAGCCATTTGGCATAACAATCCACCACAATCAAGACGGTCTGTCCTAGGAAGGGGCCAGCAAAGCCTGTGTGCAGGAGCGACTATGGAGTTCGGGTCATCTCCCAAGACTGAACCAGTGCCCGGGGCATCCCTACCCATGTTTCCTGGCAGAGAAAGTACTGCCAGATCCAGTCTTAAATGGCTGCATTCATTTGCGCCCACCACACATAGCTGCGAGCAAGCACCGTCATCCTGACGATAACAGGATGACCAGTGTGCAAGGCTTTAAGGACATAGACACGCAACATCTTAGGAATCACCACACGATCACCCCACAGTAAGCATCCCTTATGGGCAGACCATGCACGTTACCTGGGCACAAACAATGTGAATTGGGAACTTGGAGCACACATTGGCCACCCTCTCCAGACCCAGTGAAGGACACGGAAGAGAACACCAGCCTTAGCAGAGTATTGAGCCACATCATCTTTATAGACAGGAAATTCTGGGAGCATCACTACCTCTGATGCAGAAAGGTCGTCTTAGCGCTGGTGCATTAGGGGAAGTCGGCTGAGACCATCGACGTGGCTTCCGCTTAGAAAGATGGACCATTGCAGCATTCGTGGTGGAAGCATCTCTGTCGAGTTTTCCTGTCCGACGTGAACAGCCCAAGTAGTGGCTTATAGTCTTTGTACATCTAGAAAGGGTAGCCAAGCGCATAGTCATGAAACTTCTTTATTCCGGCAACCACGAAAAGTGCCTCCTTTTAGCGACCTTTCACGCAAAAAACTTTGGTCTGTCTGTCTGTACATTTGTCTGTTTGTCCACCGTTACCGCAAACCGGGTATTTTAAACAGCCCCAGCCGATACCCCGAATGGCCGACCCCAACCGCAGCGCCCACCAATGTTGCTCAAAAATCAGTGTTCATATGTGTACAATTGTCAATTTAAAAGCAATTATTGTACATAACTGAGGCACCATAACAACACATATATATTCTGCATGTTCGTCTTTTACTAGAAAAGGCATACATAGGTAATTTTAAGGAACGTAGCGCTTATCACGATGCGCTGACCATGCAACGCTTGCACGGAATGGGGAGTGTTTCCAACGCTTTGCTAAGACGAGACGGTGGTGGCACCTACCCGTGGCCTTGCGTTCTACACCTTATCACCTCTGAGACGAGCGCGCATACCCGCCTCAGGGCCCCACGCTTTGTTTTCCAAAAAGAACTGCCAGATGGCACTCATGTCTCCCGTGTGACGTGACTTGATGCGCTCGTTCGCCTCTGCTGCACGCTCGAAACACTCTAACACAGTGCCTCCGGAATACCATTTACCGATTTTCTTCCGCAGAACATCAAATAAATGTTTTGTTCAGTCTCTCTGCACGCAAGACTATCATCTTTCAACGACACTTGCAGATTACATGCAGATAGGGGGCCAATTTTTCTTTCTGGGCATAATTCTGTTCCGCAGAAGATAAAGTACATGAATAAAATGCGATAAGTGCTTCTTTACCGTTTGAAAATTGTTGGCTCAACACTGCTCCTATTCCATGTGGAGAGCCATCACAGGGAAGGATGATGAGCTTCTCCTCGAAATGTGTTAGCACCCGAGTGACGTTAGCAGTTTTTTCACATCATTGAACGCTACCTATTGTGGGGTTTTCCACACCCAGGGCACCTTCTTATCTAATAACCGGTGCAAGGGTTCTGCAGTGGTGGTCTTGTGTAGACAGGCAGGAATTCATCACAAAAACTGAGAAGACCCAGGATGGTCTGCAGCTTGGCTTGTTCAAAGGCAGCAGTGCATCAAGGGTGGCTTGTGTCTTAGCTAAAGCGGTTGCTTGGGCGAGTTGGTACGACATAGTTGAAGAAACAAACAGCGCGAAAAACAAGACACCAGACGAAGAAGTGCCCATACAGAGCGCTGACTTACAACAAAAAATTTATTCTTCGGCAGGTGGTGGTCCCCCTAGCTCCTGGGTTGATGGCCCTACACATGCTAGCCAGCTTCTCCGGCTGGTAAGCACAACCCAGGAGCTAGGGAGACTGGTTAGCACAACACAGGAGCTAGAGAGACCACCACCTGTCAAACTAAGCATCAGAATAAGTTCATTCTGTGCATTCATGACGTGTATTCTATACCATTTTCTTGTGGTAAACTGTACATAGAACAAACTAGGCGATGTCTGAATGAACGTCTCAAGGAACTTGCTTACAGTGTTTCCTCTACGGTGTTTGGGCACCTGGGCATGCATTGCCGAGATTGTGAGTGTACTCCTGATTTTAAGTCATGAGCGGTTATCAAGCGTCATCAGGGCCAGCTTACCCGTGAAATACTGGAGGCCTTGAGATTGCTAAACAGGGGGATCCATGTGTGAGTAGGCCCTTGTTTGCCCTCTCAGGAAAGGATTGAATGATATGTGGGGTTTAACGTCCCAAAACCACCATTTGATTATGAGAGACGCTGTAGTGGAGGGCTCCGGAAATTTTGACCACCTCGGGTTCTTCATCGTGCACCTAAACCTGAGCACACAGGCCTACAACATTTCCGCCTCCATCAGAAATGCAGCTGCCGCAGCCGGGATTCGAACCTGCGACCTGCGGGTCAGCAGCCGAGTACCTTAGCCACTAGACCGTCGCGGCGGGGCTCTCAGGAAAGGAAGTTGTCTTTTTATCTTGTTGATTGCATGAGCTATGAGAATGATTTTATGATTTTTCTTCGACTATCACTTTTGTTTCTCTTTTTTAATCCACTGCATAGGTATATATGCATGGTTTGAAGAATAAAGTTTTTGTTGTAAGTCAGCAGTCTGTATGTATAATTCTTCATCTGGTCTCTTGTTTTTCCTGCTGTTTGTTTTTTCAATTGTGTCTTAGCCTGTGTATACCTTCAACACAGATACCTTCAGCATCTACTCGGAAACCCCAAAACTCCTCTTGAGTCACTCATAGGAGATATTTTGTTTCTTGACCTTAAGGCTGTGCATCGCAAAACTGCCGAAGGACCTCTCGAAGGCGGCTAAGCAATTCCTAATGCCAGGATCCAGAGATGAGGACAACATCAAATATAAAATGACACCTGGTAGTCCCCGCAGCAGGTTCTCCATTAAGCTCTGGAAAGTGCCAGGCGCGACACTGACACCCAATTGTAGTTGGCGAACATGAAAACCACCCCGATGAGTCAAAACGGTCGGTGCATTTGCAGATTCATCAGTCACAGGCAGCTGTTGACAAGCTTGTGCCAAGTTGAGTTTCGCAAAAACAGTTCCATCCGAGAGAGATGGCAGCAGGTGGCTGATCACTGGCATGAGTGCTGCTACAAGACTTCGTTGATTGTGCAATTGTAGTCTTTACGGATGCGGACGTCTCCATTTGCTGTCAGTGGCGTAACAACGGGGGTTTACCAATGAGCATGATCAACCGGCTTCAGAATGTTCGGCTGTACCAGTTTGTCCACTTCGTGTCGATTTTTGGCTGAAGCACAAAAGCAACCCTCCTTGCTTTTAAGGACACAACTTAGGGGTTAAGTGCCGTGGGCTCTAGAAATGAAGCAAGCTCTCAGAACGAATCAACACAGCACATGCGGCCGAACCAAACCAAAACATCATGTACATTCATTCAATTATATTACATCAACAATATCACCAGCTGAATCAAATAAATCACTAGTGATCAATACGCTGAACACAGCTTATATCATAACAACAGGTGGCCAATGTGGTCTACATATTTTGTTGAAATTAGTGCAACTAAGAAAATTTTGAGGCTGGTCGAGCATTTTGACACAGCGTGAAGCAATTTCTCCAAAGTTCATGGTTTTGGCACAGCTCGACGAAAAATGAAGAATCTCATAAAATTGGCACAATTGACGCAGATGTTACACCCCTCCAAAATAGTGTTTGCTGTTTCGAGTTACTGATTCTAACCTCCCGAACACATGCCCACGAGATCGGTGGTATGTCTATATTATGACTCCACCTAAAAAAAATTTTAAAGAAAGCTGCTTGTAAGGAACCAGGCATGGCCCTTATACACAAAAAAGACGCAGCCTTGCTGCCGTTGACACTCATATCGGAAAGACGGAGCATCCATTTTCATGCACACAGCGAACACTCCAAGCGCATTGCCAACAGAAAACAAACCTCATCATCAGCACCATTGTAGTCATCGACGCTCTCAACCGACTGTGAAGCCTGCAGGGATCCCTTGCGACCACCCGACACCGACCCAGAGCGCCGCACCGGTGCCCTTTCAGCAGACTGGAGAAGGAGGGAAGGTGTCTGTTAAACACATGGGGCCCTAGCGTTGAGAAATCCTTCCTCTTGCAATACTAGGTTTGCACATTGTTTGAGATTTTCTTTTGCACTGTCCTTGCTACCAATATGCCAGGGCCCCTTTCAGAATTTATAGCTTGCCTTCAACTTTTTTGGCTTTGTTAAGAAGTATACAGAGGCATGCCAACCTATTTAAAAGCAACTGTGGCTTATGCACATGAACAATTAGATCAGGGGCTGGGCTGTATAGAATGATCTTTGGTTCAAGATTTCCTGGCAGCCCCAGTGATGAACTGCTTAGTTACTTGAACAATTTATGGATCACTAATATCATCAATGCAGTTAGACAGTCAAGAAACAGAAGTTATGTTTTAAATCTGATGTACACATTCACATATGTATCCTGCAGGCACAAGAGACACTGTGCTACTCCCTGCCTCCCACTGATGTGCGCACATAAGGCCCACAGGCAGCCTCTTTAGGTGAATGTCACTGCCGATGGGACCTGAATTGTCCTGTTTCCTAAAGGCACATATCCAACCAAGTCGGTTCAATGCTTTTTGACTGCACCTTTGAACATTCTGAAATGTTTGAACCTAATCAACTGATTTCACATTGCAAATGTGGGTGCTGTGACACAAACGATGCCTCCATTTTCATGGTTCTTTGCTTGCTGTCCTCCCTTTTCCTGTGAAATCCTTGCTTGCCTTCGTACTGCAGCTCTAAAGGCAGTTGTTTCACATGAATGAGTAGCAGCATTATGTACGTTCCTGAGGAGTTGGGCACATTCATGCCGAGCGGTGAAGTTCAAACTATGACGTGAAAACTAATTGTACGGCCAAGCATAAAAATATAAAAAACACCATGCCTAAGAGCCAAAAATCAAGTAAACAGAAGTTGAATAAGCAAAACACAACCATACAACTATGCATATAGGTGCATGTCACTTGCACCACTTGATATTTCCTTGTGTATTTCGTTCTTTTATAAGCAGAGTAAAATCTTGTTCATTTAGTCTTCATCAGGTACAACGTTTTCATAATTCAGCTACATATTGTGATCTCAGCAAGCATACGTAGCGTTTAATGACCTCAAAATCTAGTCAATTTAGTCATACACTCAAACCTTATTATAACAAACTAGAATCTTATATGAAAATATGTTCGTTACAACAGAAAATTTGTTATGAAGGGATATTACTAACCCTACATCTATTGCCAGACTATAATTCACTTAATTATTTAGTATAACCAATATTTCATTATAATGGTGCAACCTGGTGAATTCGCAAGATCCTTACAACATACACAGTGCGCGGCACTGTAAGTATGGGATGCAAAAAAGCAATGACCGCATTGGAAATGACTGAAACGAGGTGGCACAGTCCACACTACTGCACAATCAGTACAAACCATACGGTAATGACAGGAAAGCCAGAACACTTAATGCCTACTAGCATTTGCCTACTAGCATTGCCTACTAGCATTTACCACACGTCACGTCATGCTGGCCACAGGTCTTTACAAAGGCAAGGTCATGACTGGGTACTTGGTGAACAAAGTTTTAGTGAAAATACTGTCTATTTGTTTTGTTTTCCATTTTCACTTGGTGGATAGGTTCCATTTATAATCCAGTCAATAGAAACTGTATTTTTGTTTGCAGTGGCTGCAACAAGCTATAGCTTCGCTTTTGCCACATGTCTTCAGAACTGTGTAGTTATTCCTCTGCAGCAGCTGCGTAGTTTTGTTCTGACTGTGTGCACACACGTTGTGCATGTGTCTTCAGAAATGTGCAGTGCTCCTCATGATCATGTTGTTAGCCATCACAGTTCTGTCCACAGCAGATGCAGCATTCACGAAGTTCTAACATGACATTTTGCCCACTCCATGTGCGTGCAACATCACAAAATTCAAACATTGCAGAGGCTGTGGATAACAAAGAGCTTTGAGCCATGGTCTGCATGCTGACATCGTGATGGATGAATGATCAGATGCTGGCAACTGTATCGGCAAAGAAAGTATCACAACAAGTGTGTTATCAAAGGGCCTACCAATTTACTTTTGCGAAATTCCCTGACTTTTCCAGGTTTTCCATGATGATTTAAAGCAAATTCCATGACCATTAAGTCTGCTTAGAAAACTCCATGCGCTGGAAACAGACCCACGAGTAGAAGAAAAAACTAAGGCGATTTCATAGAATGCGTACATAAACGTACCGCATATGCTCAGAATGTTCTGAGCACGTGTGGCAAATATAAAAAAATATGTACATCTGGCCAAAATGATACCTTCGAGCAAGAGAATCAACAAGTTGGCTGTTTGGCAGAGTGCAAACACACGAGTTAAAATTAACCGCAGCTGAAAGTTTGAAGGAACCTACAGTCGTCCAACAACATAGTCAAAGCTGCTAGGAAATGTAGAAGTGACACAATCTCGTGGCATCTGTATAAAAATAAGGACGCCTGGGCCCGGCCGGTTCCACCACTCGAGTATATTCTAGTTCACTATATTGGCTACAGCCCAGGCCACTTAGGATCTGAATTGGATTGGGTTAGATTGACCTCTATTTATTGACTTTACTATTTGGGATGTTGATTGCATTGTATCTGATGCAACCTGAATTGCTGTATTTACTATTGATTTGCATCCCCACCTAAACTGTACACCTTTTATATATACCTTTCAACGAAAAAATAATAATTATTATATACTACTCCTGTATTCTGCGCACCATGCATTGAGAATGACTAACAACGTCGCAAGAACGGAACTGCACCCACATACTTTTCTTCTCTCTTTCTTTTTTCTACGACGATCACATGCATGTTGATGCTTCATTGTTTTATTTTTTCAGGCTCTGACGCTCAGAGTCTGACAAAGTCCTCAGATGCCCGCAATGAGAGCTAGAGGTAGCACTTAAAGTGATAGCAATTGAATACCGTATTTACAAGCGTAATGAACGCACACGCATAATAAATGCACCCCCTACATCTGCTGCAGTCCCGCTAACCGACACCTGGTGTTTCCTTGCCCGTTGGATCTCTTCTGTTTTTTATTACTGTGCTGACCTCCCTCAGCCACTTCGGCTCGCTCCATCCCCACCCCTTCACCTGTTGCCGCGTGCCGTATAGTTTCTCTATCTGTGCCCGGCACATAGCTGGTCTTTTTAAAATATTTATTTGCCACAGCGGGGTTCACAAACGGTGCAAGTGTAGAGACATCACAGCTCACAAGCACACAGCGAGAGATGGTCACAAAACCACCGGCGCCATCTGGCGGTCTATTCTTGCAAATACAAAACTTCTAGGCCCAACCAGGTGCACGCGATTTTCGAGCGACGATGACAGGATGTGCTGTCATGAAGAGTCATTCGTTGCTATCCCGTCACAGGCTTCTGGAAAATCAGCAAATCTCTTGACCCCCAGAAAACATCGTGACTATTTTCGCAACATGATAGCACCCTCGATTCTTACTTCGCTTGTTCTCCGCACGTAAAAGAACTTCTCATGTAGAAGCAAGGCAGTGACCTTATTTGTATTTTGTTGTTAATCTTCTTACTGACGGTTTGTTTTGATGCTTCGGGGGTAACTTGCTGCAATGTTGGTAACTTGCTACAATGTCAACGGCGGTGGCGCGGTCGTCGTGCGAGGTTGCCGCGAAGTTGGCAAAATGCGTCGTAGCGCACACTTCTGGGCGCCCCTCGAGATCACAGTAGATATCAATGTTGCGGATAAACGATTGGGAGAAACGATAGCCATGAAATGCTTTTATGGTGTGCACAAGCAGTGTGGGAACAGCTTTCCCAAGATGACTGAAGTGCAACAAAAAAGCTGAGCAAACTAACTTTTTTTTTTGCTTTACAGCATTTTTTCGTTCATACCGAAAAAGTTTTAATAAAATTTTCTCCGCATAACAAACGCACCCCCAACTTCGCTAGAATTTTTTGAGAAATAATAATAATAATAATAATAATAATAATAATAATAATAATAATAATAATAATAATAATATACTAATATTAATAATAATAGTGTTTATTTTTCATCAATAGTTTTATGAAGGACAGCTGCAGGTAAAAGCTGCTCTCCAAAAAAGGCAGCTTGACAACGGCCCATAGCCACCTTTTAGCACAACAGCAGTGGCAAACAATCAGCAATGTGAAGTCAACAACAATAACAACACCAAACAGATAAACAAATAAATAATAAAGATATAAAAATCAAGTCCAAATTCCAAAAATAAAAATAGCAACCATGATAATACAGCAACTGCAAAGAAATCTTAAAAACTAAACATATATATATCGCTCAATTGAAACTGTGTACAGTGTAAAAAATCTATGCCAGCTTTCACATATTTATTAAATAACGTAGGAACAATGTAGGATAAGTTATTTGTAGAGTAGCTTGTTCCCAAAGTTTTTATTTTCCATGTTTCTTTATTTGGTGTTTGAAACAATGCAATATGTGGCTGCAATTTTCATAAGTCATACAAAAAATGTCGACTTTCTTTCAATTCACGCCCGATTGCCAAAGCTAACTTAAGATTGTAGAGACGATGTACGGGTAGTATTCCAGCACGTTAAAACAATTCGCTTGTGTGAGCATCATACGGCAAGTTAAAAATGAATCTAATATATTTCTTTTGCATCAGGTACAGTTTTTACAGGTTCGTGTAAGTTGTAGTTCTCCGTATGAAGAAACATTAGGTAAGATGTGAATAGAAAAGTGATTTATAAAGTAAGAGTTTTACCTTGTATGGTAGAACAGTTTTGCCACTGTACACCATACCCACTACGCGAGATAACTGACTCAGCACACTGTCAATGTGTTCACTCCAAAGCATATTGCTCGAAAATGTAGCTCCAAGAACTTTTTTACTATTTACTAGCTCATTATAGGTATCGCCATACTTGAGACGTATGTTTTCATTAGCGGGCTTATTTTTAAGACGGAATAGTACCGCCTTTGTTTTACTAGTGTTTAT